TTTCATTTAAATATCTTTTGGGATATTGGAAATCAATGGAAAAAAAAGTTAGAATCTGACCATAAAGCAGAATTGGTTCTTGGTTGGGACATATATACAAGCATCTGGTGCCCAGAAGTCAAGGGAGCTGGTAAATGATATAGTGATGATGCAAAAATTTACTTCAACTTTGGACTTAAACCAAAAGAAACCAAACCCAGTAGAGTAGCGTTTGCTACTGTTTTAAAAAACATTAATGGGTTTGTCTCATGATTTTGTCTCCTTCCTCAAAACCAGACAATTGGCAACCAGAGGCTGCCAAAAATATTCATTGCACAAACAAATTTTAGTTCAATCTCTAAACTTTTCCTTCGTTATAATAAAACAATAACCTTATTCAGTGCAATAAATAACAACAGTTATTCTTACACAGTAACAGCATGTCCGCCGAAAGTGTAGAGGATGTTGGTGGCGCCGGTGAAATACAGAACCAACTTTTGTGGACCAGAGTGAGTAACCCCTTCAACCTGAAAACAGAAAATTCAAAGAAAAATAGGTGTGAAGAAGTAAATAAACGGGGAAAAGATCACGAATTCAAGAGGGTTTGTTTAGTACTTTTACCTGGCCATGAACAATGGCGGCTATTGTCAAATACCAAGCAGTGTAGGTGGTCATACCAAGGCCAAGAAAAGACCAGACTCTGTAGTTGTGAAATGAGGGGATGAACACAGTGGTGGCACAGCAAGCTCCAAAGATGTATGTCCATGTCCTCTTGTCTAATTTGTCATCTATGTAGTATATGTTGCTGCAAAAAACAAAATGAATCATATCGGTTAAACAAAAGAAATTAAGGTTAATCCTTCAAAATTGAAAAAAAGTAAAGGAAAAATGGAAAAAAGAAATACCTTGCACAACCTATTAGCTGAATAACAGAACCAAAGACCAAGAAAGTGCAGTTGAAGGCCAATCCAATAGCTTTCCACTTTGGTCCCAGTAGTCCATCCAATACTTCAAACCACTGCAGTCCCCCAAACCC